AGCAGCCGCATTCAGTTTTTAATTGTAGTGTCTGTTCTTTTACTGAACTAAATGATTTTTATTTCTATAAAAAATATCAAAACGACGGTGGGGTGGTGGGCAAGTGACGTAACCGGTGTTGCGGCTTAACACCGCTATCACCGTCAACACTGTCTATCGTGGCAAGCCTAGCATCTACACTAAAGAGCGGCTATGTGGTTGTTTTGGCTATATTACTTTTTTGTCTCATGCAGCGCACTGCTTGCGTCTGAGTAACAAACTAAAAAAAACAACAAACAAAAAAGTGCATGTGATATTAACAGACGAACTACGCTCATATTTATAATTCCAAACAATCAGTAAGCGGCAGGTGCTAGGAAACGCTGTTTTGTACTCATTTATTGACGAATCAGCTGCGGTGCGGCCAACTGAATGCGCTGCTTCTCTGCCGCTCACTGCACAGAACAGACGCCGAGAGAGGTGACGCTTCTCCGGGAAAGTCAGACCTCGCGTTCGCGGGACAGCACTGGCGAAATCTTCCAACTGAACCATAGCTAAGGTTTATCCAAAAAAGTCGCTAGGTTTGTCAGTATGAATATTTGCTATAAGGGTCTGAAAGTTGCTAAATCTAGTGCTAAAGTCGCGCTCGTGTGTGTGAGACGCGTGAGCTGATGGCAGGGGGCAGTGGATATTTGTGGCGGTCAATGTGGATATTGTGGATGAGTTCTTCTGTCATCATGTTCTATTAGTTCTACAGCTTCAGTTTCGGAACTTTCACGCTTAGTAACACATACAGCTGTTCCCTCACCACAGTGCAACAGTGAAAAGGGACCCCTTTCAAACAGTGTCGCGTTCCGAACGTTGTTTAAGCGACATTATTGCGGTATTTTAAAAATGTAAAATTTAAAAATATTCGGTATGAACCGGTATACCGCCCAGCACTAATATATATATATGTAAAATAGTTTATTATTTGAGCATTGGTTTCTTTTATCATGTCGTGAAATATCTCCTCTGTTCTGAATAATTTAGTTGCCAAAATTAGTTTTGTGTTAAATATGAAAATTGCTTATGGGGAAAAGGGTTAATGTTCTGTTTTAACATGTTTGTTTTTTTATGGTGTTGCAGGTGGCCTGCCGTACGAGTTTAAAGTGGTGATCGCGGGGAATCATGAGCTGACCTTCGATAAGAATTTCATGGCGGAGCTGGTCAAGCAGGATTACTATCGCTTTCCCTCCGTGGCCAAGTTGAAACCAGAGGACTTTGACGATGTTCAATCTCTCCTGACAAACTGTGTTTACCTGCAGGACTCTGACGTCACCGTCAAGGGCTTTCGAATATATGGCACACCATGGTAAGTTCCTCATGCATTTCTTGTGTTTTTACATTTACAGTAAATACATTTTAAGATCAATTACTTTAATCAAAATCGCAAGTTGTTGGCAGTCATTCGATGGTCAGAATGCTTTCTCTTTGCTTTGGTTTCTGTATATATCTTCTTCATCATCATCATCATCATCATCATCTTGTACTCTGTTTTTGAAGATTTATGTTTGTTTATCAGTGTTTGACAATGTTCAGCATATTTTTTACCAATTAACAGATTAAGACTGTTTGTATCAGTGATTTAGTCTTTTTCCAGGTTTGAGTTTGCAATGACTTTAGACTAGATCAGCATACGTCAACAGACTAGATGTCAGTTTTGCTTTAAAGACAGTGTGACGGCATTCTCAACACCTTTAACTTCTGTAACGTGACCTATTTCTCAGTGGGCAATTCCATGGGTATTTGATTCAGTTTTCATGGTTTCATATTATTGTTCACTTGATTATTGGTTAATATTTTTCCTTTCCATACAATTTTGGTTACGTCAGCAGAAAAGATTTCTGAGGTGGCGTATAAAAATGTTCTAAAAGAGGTCTCTTATGCTCACCAATGCTGCATTTATATATTAAAATATTAATTTGTGAAATATTATTACATTTAAAATGATTTTTTTCTATTTTAATATATTTTAAAATGTAATTTATTCCTGTGATAGCAAAGCTGAATTTTCAGCATCATTACTCCAGTCTTCAGTGTCACATGATCCTTCAGAAATCATTCTAATATGCTGATTTAGTGCTCAAGAAACATTTCTTATTAATATCAAATTTGAAAACAGTTGTGCTGCTTAATATTTTTGTGGAAACCATGATACGTTTTTTTTTTTTCAGGATTCTTTGATAAACCATTTATTTGAAATATAAATCTTTTGTAACATTATAAATGTCTTTACTGTTACTGTTACGGAATTTCTTTGGAAAAATCATTAACATACTAAGAAAGTTAATATTTTAAATACTGCAAGTATGACATTTTGAATTCATACGAACTTCAAAAGCTCTTGTGATGTAATTTCTGTGATGTGCCACTGCGCACTGCTAAACAAGCGGCATGAGAAAGCACCACTGCGTCATTCCCATACTCCATCCCCGTGTGTTTGAATTTCCTCGGATGCTCTGATCCTCTTGGAACCTGTTTGTTTTTCTAGCGCTGCTGTAGGAATCGCTCACCTCGCGCTCTATTGGGCAGCCCATTTAGCTGCACCTCTGCCCTACTTCCTGTTTTCTTAGCATCCATCTAAAAAGATAAAATGGCCCTGAACTATAATTATCCCGCACAACATTTTTAATGCTTCCTAGCATTTTCTATTTTTACATCCTGCCCCTTAGACTTTGTTTTCCTGTGTGTTTTTTCCCTCTTAAGAGCCATTGTGAGATTCACCTCTTCTGCTGTCTTGTTTTTGTCTATAATTAGCCGTGAAATTAAGTTAAAAAGGGCGTTGTATAGGGCATCCCACAAAATGTAGCGAAACAGACAGTGGGGAAGCGGAAAACGGAGGGAGGAAGTGGAGAAGGAAGGAAGCCCCCTGTGGCCCTTTAGCGTGAAAGCTGCTAAATGTCTGTTGTGACAGCATGGGGTCTTGTGGGAAACGGGGAGGAGGGGCCCGGCGGTTGGATACTGATAACTCAACACACACACACAGATG